CGGATAAAAAAAGAATTATCCAAATCGGTCCACTAGCGGCGGAGTTATGCCGTAACACACATAAAAAAAAAATAAAAAAAAAAATAAATATACCGACGAATTGAATACCTGCTTCTTTTGGGAAGTCGGTCAAAATAAAACAACAATAAAGTCATGAAACATACCTGGGTATACAAGGTCGTGGTGGTAGAGTGGGTTTCACACTGATAACCTCATACTCATCACTTCTGGTGACCGCTGTACTATCCTCCATCGCACTCATGCTCTTTGTTAACAGATCTGCTACTTCTTCTGACACATCCCGCTTACCGTTCATACCTTCATTACCATAGTACACTGCAATTTACATTACCTATATGTTAAAGTATAAATAATAAAGTATTTTGTAAATCATACTAATACAATAGAAATTCGATAACTCAAACCTCAGTAACTTAAAAACCTCTATAACTTAAAAAAATAACATGTTCCCTTCCCATCAGAGCCCAAAACCGCTACAACATAGACCCTTGGTAACTTAAAACCTGTATAATTTAAAGTATTTTGTGTTTCCCTTGGACTTTAACTTACCGAGGTTCTAATGTATGTATTATAAATGCAAAAGTTTAGATGGATGGATGTTTGTAGCCTAAACTGCTGAAGGTATCTCAATGAAATTTGGCATATTTGTAGAGGATAGTCTAAGAACACAGAGGTTGCTTACTTTTGTTTTTTAAATTCCTTGCGAAAGCTAGTATTGACTAAACATTCTGTTGTATATCAGAAATGACTGTGGGTAAATGTATAGACATATATTTTTAATTACATAGTTTTCTACTATGACAAATGATTATCATGAGAAATTAGGAGAAATAATAAATAAAAATATTATAATATAAATAAATATTTAATACTAAATACTTAGCTAACACTACCTTTAAAGGGTATTATAATTTAAGCTACCATATGCACACTATATTTTACTATATGTGTTATGATATATGCGTAAATTTTACTGGAGTTTGCAGTATTAAGAAAACATAAAAAAAAATAATGTAACCGTTTCTATGAAATTTCAGATGTAACTCACCACTAGCACTTTCTGTATCATGTTTGCAATTAAACAAAAATTATTAATGTACCCATAAACACAAGGTCTCAAAAAATCCTCCTAATTAACTTCCCTATGTATATTATTATAAAGATGAGTATTTTGTGTAAACTCAAAAATACTGAATCAGTATTAAAAATCTATTTCCATTGTTAATTTATTTTTAATTTCTCCAGGACAAATTCACAGACAAAAAGAACTTTATATAACATATTAAAAAAATACATACCAATATCAGTGAGTTTTGAGAAAGCCTCCATAGTGGTTTCATAAGGTCTTTGTCTTAAATTTGATACCAAACTCCAAACAACATCAGTGGGATTCTCCGTAAATATATCCAATTCCGCAAACGATTTGTTCAAAACTTGTGTCTCTCTGTTCGGTTCCACAACAATATATGTGTTTTTATCATTTCTCGCTTTAGTTGTTTTGACGTGATTTTTTAGATATGCTACAAAGATTTCAGCATTCCCGTGTTGGAAATAGAATGACATCTGCCAAACGCCGGATTTTGTTGAGAATTGCATCTGCTGATTGTTTCTGGACACTCGGAATGTTTTCAGTTCGCTCAACGGTATCTTTATAATTCGTGCTCTGAGTGTCGCATAATCTGACGTCATATTTCCACTTAGAGTTCGTTGACGACGACCTGAAATATTGAACAAATTTCTCATATTGATTTTTCAAACACTTATTAAATCAACTTTTTTTTCTATGGAACAAGGTAGCACACAAACAAGCGAATCCTTTAAGAGACATTTCAATAAGAACAATCACTGTTACTAACATTGCTTAATCATACTTCATACTAATATTATAAATGCGAAAGTTAAGATGGATGGATGTTTAGATAGATGGATGTTTCTTAGAGTTTGTAGCCTAAACGGCTGATCGGAATTCGATGAAATTTGGCATAGATGTAGAGGATAGCCTGGATGAACACATAGGATACTCACTTTTGTTTTTTTTTTAATTCCACGCCGACGGAGTCGCGGGCGAAAGCTAGTAATGTTGTAAATGTGAAATTTTAATGGATGGATGTTTGTTAGAAAGTACCTCCTACAGCTGAATGGATCTCCTTGAAATTTGGCATACATTGTGTTGCAATTTTTACAAAATAGTGATACACCTAATAACTTGTATATTTAATTGAAAATAATGTGAAGCTGTTTTTGTACTTAAGAGTATAAATTATTATAAATATTACTAACCAATAGTATTAACAACAGCCCATTCCTGGTCCTGTGTGTCAGAATCAATAGTGATCAAATCATTAGGTCTCCATTCCACACATTTAGAAGCATCAGCATTCTGCACTATACACAGCATACCAATAGAGTTGAGCTCATTAATTGAACGACCAATACATGACTTAAGCAATACTCCATCCTGTGTAAATAGATCCTGAAAAGTTCACATTTAGTAAAGAGATATAGTTTCCAGCTTCACGGCTAGTATTCATATTTGATAATTGCTACAGCTAAACCTCATAAAACTCATACTGGCTGAAATAGTGCTACAGCTGCAGAATTAACTGACTATTAACTTAATTATAACATCTGGCCTTGTTTATTTCAATTACTAAAAGATTAAAAAAATTATGAACAAAGAGGGTATTGCAAAATATTTGTTTTCGTCTTTGTTGGGTATTTTAAAATTATTATTTTACAAGCGAGCATATATCCTACATAATTAAATGAGTATTTATAAATAGCTGATTAAAAATTATGAATATTACGAATGGTAAATAAATAGACCATGGTACTAACAATATGTGACGCAGTTTCCGAGTTATGAAAAATATTTCTAATTAAAGTACGTAGATCTACCGACGATAAACTACAAGGTCAGAATTATGTGGCAAAATTAAACAATAATTCTATTGAGAAGAAGTTACTTACTTTACACTGCTCAGGTATATCTTCAGCGGAACTCGAAGACATTTTGTTTACAACACATAAATCGAAGTTAAAAATGAAAAACTCATGTATAAGTCGCTAAATCACTTATTGCCAATTTAAATCCATATTTTATATTATTATTTTTGTGAATGGTAAACAATGGAGCACAGTTAAAAAGAAAAGACTAAAAAAAAATATTGAAAAAGTTATGTCGTAGATTGCTACAAGGTTGCTCTACCTCTGGATTTTAATTTCCAAGAAATTATTAGAGCCTTAATCATTCAAGATTTCTAAACGAGATATGAAATAATTGGGTACATTTTTAAGAAACAAATCGCCTTTTTAATGGATAAATTCAGATTTTTTCTGAAACTCTGAAACTAAAATTCGCCGGATGAAATCAATGACAACACCAGAAACCAAAACACGTCAAGTGAAAATTGTCAACGTCAACGTCATTGAAATGTCAAGTTTGTTGGCATTTGGGTCAGTGGACGCCGTTTATGTATTTATTTTTGTATAAATCCAGTTATTGAAAAACAAAACATAAAATTTACTCGGTGGGATACGAGAATAAGTTTAAACCATAATTATACCCAACTTCAGTACACACTAATATAAAATGACGAACCTTGATGTAAGTGTTGATTTTTCAATATTTTTTTAATATTTCCTTAGTAAAAAACGAATTATTGTATGCTGGACAAGTTCATTTTGATAACTATTTAGGAATTAATTTAATATACTTATTTTATAATTGAAGTGTACCTAAATGCAAAAACGACTACAAATCTGAATTCCTGTATATTCAACCAACAAAATTAAATAAATTCCTTCAACCCTTATTTTTCAAACATATTTATTTACAACAACTACAGGTTAAAGTCTCTTTGTTTTTGTGAAATACTTAAAGCTCATTTTTTATTTAATTTGTGCTGTTGCTATGCACCATAACCTTAAAAGAATTGTGTACTGTGTAAATATTAGTAACAGCTATATGTATAATGTTTTACAAGAATGTAAACAATGAATAAACGTCAGTTTGCAACATTATACTGAGTCATCACCGTAACAATATTCCATTTTCGGTGTCAACTATAATATTTTATCCTCTTGATGAAGATAAGTAAAATACAGCTTTTATTATTGTGCTTTTAATTATTAAACCATTACATGTTCAATTCCAGATTAGCAACAGTAGTACGGATAGTAGCTCTGGGTCCACATCGGATTCCAGTAGCAGCGGGAGCTCTTCAACCACCTCGGGATCAGGTTCTAGCAGTTCTGACTCTGACTCCTCAACCTCTGAGACACCAGCAGCAACTGCAGCCACAGTACCACCTAAATCACCCACAAAACCGGCAGAAGAGGCTAAAAAGAAAGAAGAACAAAAACCAAGACGGGCATCTAAAACAAAAACATCATCTAGTGAGGAAGAAGCACCCAAAGCAGCAAGTCCAAAATGCCCACCGAGACGTAGAGCTTCAGCCAAACCCAAGGCAGCAGCAGCAGTCCTTGCTAAAGCAAAACCAGCCCCTCGTACAACAATAGGTGCAAAAGCGAAAGCCATTTCGAAAACTATACCCAAATCCCAAACAAAATCTGATAATTTGAAAAAGAAAAGCATATTTTCCCCTGACAACAGTTCTGAATCCGAAACTGAAAGCAAAAACAAACCAAAACAGAGTGCAAAAGAGTCTCCAATTAATAAGAAAGTGACAAGAAAATCGAGTGATGAAACACCAGCCACACAACCTGTGATCCCAGAAGATAATACCGTTAAAGAGAATGCTAAACGCAGAAGTAGTAGGAACAGTGGTCCACCGGCAAAGAAAGCAGTAGAAGATAAAAGCGCATCTTCTTGCTCATCCAGTCAGTCATCGGTTGAATCAGTGTCTTCAGAGAGTGATAGTGAACCAACATCCAAGAAAGACAATGGAAAAACTATTAAAACAAAACCAGCGACAGTAACAAGTAAGGTATGAAAATATACGTGAAATCAATTGTACAAGAGGTTTATGAAATCAACTATTATATCATATATATAATATAATAAATATTATAAATGCGAAAGTTATGATGGATGTTTGTTAGCGTTTGTAGCCTAAACGGTTGAACGGATATCCATGAAATTTGGCACAGGTTTAGAGCATTGTCTGGAAGAACACATAGGTTATATATATTCTTTTTATCCCAGGTATAGTTATGGTTCCCATGGGATTCATTAATTTAGTATTTTAATGTTTACTTGATCATTCTGCAACGGTTCAACATATCGTATTGAAATTTGGCACAGATATAAAAAAAGTCTGGAGTACACATGGGATAACATTTATCCCCGAGAAATATCCGGTTCCCCAGGGATACGTAGCTTTTTGTTATTAATATAGTTTGTATGTTTTCTAATACCACGCAGACGAAGTCGCGGGCAACAGCTAGTAGAACATATTATTGTTACCTTATTGCCTCTAAGTGGGATCCAATCCAAATCATCCACTTAGGGTCCATACCCACAAATTAAAGCGAAAAGCAGAAAAGAATTTTTACTACCATTAAAATTAATCTTTTCATAATCAAATGTTTGATTTAATTTTTTATCAAGACCAAGCATGTCACACATTTCAAGTAAAAATAAACCAATTTTTACTTGAAATGTTTCAAATTTATAAAGATCAATTTTATTTGGCTCTACACGGCTCTACACTTCAGACTGGGTTGATGGATTGTTTTGATTTTTACAGCCGATTACTGAAACGATATTTAAATAGATGTAACAGCGTCTTCATGATAAGGCCATGTCTAAACTCCAAATATTAATTTTGACGTCTATCAGATTGTAAGCGGTGTATACAAATCGAAGTATTTAAGATTCAACTGTTATTCATGCCTTGCTTTGATGACTCACCTTAAAGAACTCTTACGTATTCCAGCAAGTGGATGTAGCTACAAAGGGCAGTGAGGCGGGAGAGTCTGCAGCTCTTGGGGCGGTGCCACGCAAGCTGACCAGGTCGTTCTCAGCTCGCGCCAGCAGACTGGCAACTGCTGCCAGACCAGTTCATACTGACACCGACTCGGATGTTGACGACAAGAATGATAAGCAGTAAGGATACATTTATGAATAAAATATTGCTTTAATTGTCTATGATATTGCTTGAACTAAACAGTATATTATAAATTCAATGCAAATTAGTTATTATAATGAACATAACTAAACATTTTTTCACACTTTAAATAATAAAATTATTTGAATTAAATCCATAGACAATACCATAAATGGCATTTGTCAATGTACTGTGTAAATATAATTTCTCATTTCCATTAAATTTGACTATGGTTTATTAAGTCGATATATTTCCGAAATAAAAAAAAGTAACTGGTAGTTACCACAGTTGTAACTATGATGAAGTAAGAACCAATTGAGGTTTGAGTGTATTCACAGTTTTCAATTATTATTTTAGCATTTAAATCTAAAAATTAAGGAAGTACTCAAATCATATGTTTTTTTATTCCTAATTTTACAGAAACATTTATTTAGTAACACTTTTACCATATTTATTTTATGTTGATTTTCAGTAGAGATCTAAAGAAGAACCTAAAAGGTCGTCCTCCTGCCATCCCGCGCTCCCCCGTGGTGGCGGACACGGCGCCCGTCATGCCTTCAGAGCGTTGCTGTCCTGTTAGGGGCTGCGATTCAACCGGACATTTAGGTAATATATTTCTAACTAGAATTTACTTGGTTTAGAATTTAGTATTTCAAAAAATGCGAAAAGACGGTGAAAAACTCCTTTTAATCAAATAATTTACTTGTTATCAATTCTTTTTTTAAGTTAGTTAAGTGTTTTTTTTTTAATTATGAGGCAAGTTATTGATCAATGGGGAAGATAATCCATCTATACTTCCTTGGGTCTACTTTTACCTTTGTAGTGATCCACATTCTATCTTAACACTTGTCCCCATCCTCTCGTCGCATGTCCACGCTAACCTTTTGCTTTTTAATTTCTCGACCACTGGTGCTACTTCCTTACTTGATTCTGTTCTTCGTCGCTTGAGTCTTTACAGACTCGTCGTGGTTATCAGGTATCAGTGACCACTCCTCTCTGTACGCTGCTTTTTTCGTACATTGATGTACCCTTGCACGTCCGTAGCCGTTCTTATCTGGTCAGTCCATCTCATAGGCGATCTTCCCCTAGGTCTGTTATTTTTGGGAGTTTTTTTGTAAACGTAATAGGGTTTTGTTGTGCATAAGGCGGCAAAGCGCGCCGCCACTTCACGTGGGACGCGTGCCCCGTGTACCACAACGTGACGGCGGCGTGGTGCGTGGCGGCGGGCGAGGAGCGCGCGGCCGCCGGCGCCGCCCGCCGCCGCGCGCTCGCCGCGCTGCACCAGCGCCCGCGCGCCATGCCCACCATCGACCAGCGCGCCTACCACCTCAAAGTTAAAGTACGCACATGCACCTTCTACTACCTTACATCTAAATGTACAGTCAAGGAAATGCGCGGTGGTACACTTTACAACAAATTGCATTACGAGAAAAACTCCGCCTCCTACAAATAACTAATCAGTGAAAAAGAAGGGATGATTATTATTTTATTGATTACAAGATGTTGCCCCCGACTTTGTTTTCTTCGTTCGTGGAGCTTGAAAAGTATAACATTTACGTTCGCCCCTTATTTCAACCTACTAACGTATTAACTTAGTAGTAATCTACGTAATAACAGAAATCTACTTATAAAAAATTCCAAATTTCTAAATCAAAAGAAAGTAGCCGTGTATCACTAACCTTTTTTTCATACAGACATATTTATAATCTACGTTGTATTGGTTTTTGTTCGTCTCGTTTCATAATGTGCAAACGATTGTAGCTTTTACGTTTGCAACACCGCCAATTTCTCCGACTGTTCCAGCAAATAAGAAGTAGAACGCCACGTACAATTGAGGGATTTGGCGGTGCACTATTTTAAACTACAGTCGCTTAAACGTTTTATACTCATTGAGACGAAGACGTATAACAATAGTACGCAGCTTTATAATGTGTCTAAATGTGACCGACCTGGTCAGTGGTATATGGGTAATTGTTTTTGTATTATTGTACCGTTGTTTTCGCAGCTCATTGCTATTTAATTGGTTTGGTAAGTGGAACACCACGTATTTCCGCGAGTGTACAAATCAGTACGACATTATTTTTTCAAGTCTTGTCAAATTAATAAAATTTTACTGTTACATGTGTCTTGTTATGTGCAACAGTGGGAAGATAAAGATTGATGATTATTATGATGTGTGTCAGGACTTGCGTTCCAAATGGAAGGGCAGTCAGGAGTTGCGGGAGAAGCTGTCAGCGTCCAGTGAGGAGATGTCGGAGGAGCGCGAGCCGG